TTTCACCTTGTTCCTTCTTCAAAATACTTCTAATGGTGCTGTAATTTTTGGGTTCCATGGTAGACCTAATGTAAATGAGTTTCATATTAGTTATTTTTGTCTAGACAAATATCATTACACCAGTAATACAATTGTGATGTTAATCAAGCACTATTGATCCCTGAAATTCTTGGTAACACCAATGTTCACTTTGTCTGGTTTTGTTGCAGCATGCCCCATATGATTAATTATATCTAAAATATACAATAAAAAAATTGCATGGAATCCAAGACTGCACCACTATGTCAATCATGCTATCAAACTGTTATGTTTGCGCATGATTTAAAATTTTTTTGTGCTAATTTAGGGTCCGCCTTTCTTTGCTTATATATCTATTGGTTAATAAATTTTTAGTTTTTATCATGTCACTTTAGTCACTTTATTCAATTTTGATGATCTGCAAGTGTCCCTATACTTTTGATATAGTGCAAACATTTTTATTACCCCTGAATGTCGTGTAATGATTCTCCAAAAACACCTCGATTTTTAATGTTGTGTAACCAACCAAAAAATGATTATTGTCGTTTTTTTATTTTTTTTTTTTTTAAAAAAAAATATAAATAAATAAAATTCATGTCCCAAGCCTATTTTTAAAAAGGTATGGGCAAAACTGGAAAAAAAGCAAAGCAAAAAAAAAAAAACTCAGTCAGAAACAAAAAAATAAATTCCGCAAAACTCGTGACAAAATGAGTGACAACGAAGAGAATCAGCAACAAACAAGTATTATTTAATTATTTGTTTATGATTAAATTATTTATAATATGGTTGTGTGTTTCGTTATATTAATGTATCGTATAATTCCTTCTTGCTATTCTTGTTTTTATTATTAATATGAAGTTGATTCAGGTGCACAAAATACAACTTGCCCTCATATTAAAGATGCAATTAGTTTAGAAAATATAGAAGGCCCAATAGAAAAGCTTAGCTCCAACTTACAATGTGAAGTATGGTGCACATTTTCTTATAAATATATTATTCTTTTTCGTATACCTCATAATAATAATATATATTTTTTTCTTTTCTAAATTATTGATTAGACATGTTCTGGTGGTAATACTAAGGAAACAGACAATCTCTCAATGAAAACATCAAATTCATCTGGTAGCGAACACACGTTAGTTGATGATTCGTCACCAAATACCGAACCAGATCCAGTATCTGCTCGAAGTCTTTTTTTATGTCTTAGCTGTGGTCAACTGAACTGTGGTCGTGAAGATTCCAAACACGCGCTCGCTCACTACGATGAAAGTAAAGAACATTGTATTTCGATTAATATTAAAACTTTTGATGTTTGGTAAGCAATAATAATAATAATTATTATTATTTATTATTATATAAATTGTTTAAAATGTCTGTGCTTGCTAATAATTTTATTATTGTTAATTTATTAAAATTAGGTGTTATGCATGTGATAATGAACCATCAAATCTGACAGAAGATCAATCTCAAATTATTGATAAAGTACAATCGTTAATTCGTGAAGCTTCAGAATCAAAAGATATTGAAATTGAAGGTATTATAATTATTATATTTTTGAACGGACATCACTATTCTAAATAAATAAATATAAAATATACGCTTACACTGCATTTTTTATTTTTATGTATACTACTAGAAGCACCGAATGAACTAATAAAAAAATCAATTAAAAATAAATACCGAATCACAGCACCAGGATTACAAAATCTTGGTAACACTTGCTTCTTTAATTCTTTAATGCAGGTTAGTTGTGCATTAAATATATTTTATTTATCTTTTTCCTCCAAAAAGCCACATTTATAAATTTCCTTTTTTTAAAAAAAATTATTTACTAGGTTGTCGCAGCAACATCAGTCCTTCATGATATTCTTGACCCATCAAATCCTTATTATAATCCTCCACTAGTATCATATAAAAAATGCCCTGCTGCTACAAGTGAGGATGTTGGTCCGTTAACAGATAATTTCAAATCATTTCTAGATATGATGTGGAAACAACATGATGGAACTGTAAATCCAAAAAATTTGTTCCAAGAAATTTCAAGAAAATGGCAGCAATTTAGAGGATGGAGACAACAAGACAGCCAAGAAGTAATGCGATATTTATTTGATGGCATAAAAAGTGAAGAATTCGAGGTAAATAAACAAATTGGGCCATTGATGATTATTATTATTGTTTGATAATAGTTAGTGATTTATTAATTTATTAATTATTTATTATTTGTACTTTAGTTAATAAAAAAATTATCAGCTCATAAAAAAGATGATATAGTAATGGAGGATGGAGAGGTAGGGGAAGAAGATAATGATGACAATGATGATGATGACGATGATGATAATGGTGATGACAATGATGACGTTGAGGGTAAATAAATATATTCAAATGTCTATGTAATTTAATATTTTCTTCTTGGGCATAATTAAAGTATAAAAACTGTTAATAATTGATAGTCGATGAAATATCATCTCAAGGTTCTATAAATCAAAAAGAAAAGGATAAATCATCAGTTCAAAAATACGAATCTTTTATTGATGCATGTTTCGGTGGAAAATTAGTTAGTGTTATCGTTTGCGATACTTGTGATAACGTAAGTATTTTGCTTAATAAATAGTGTAATTATTTAACTACAAATTTACAGGTACATTTACGCAATTTTATTTATTATTTATTTAATAGTGTTCTTATTCATATGAAGAATTTTTGGATGTCTCATTACCAATAAAATCACCAAATCAGACAGAATCTCAAGTTAATATTAATTTTAACTTATATTACTGATTTTTTTTTAATTGGTTTGTTTTGTATAAAATATTAACGTGCAAACATTATTTTTTACTACTTATCATCATCATCATCATATAATAATAATTATTATTTTAAGAAATATACGAATGAGAGTACCACTTATTATAGCACATATGACAGTAGATATGGCTCGCGAGATGATAATTCATCGCCACATAGTAGTGGTGGTGACGCTGATATTGGCGATGGTGATGCAATAGTAGAGTCAGATGATAATGACGGACAACAAAAAAAAATTGATAACGAGACAAAACCTTCAGCCAAATCAATAAAGCGTAAAAAAAGAAATAAATTATTATTACGAGAGAGTCATTCTAATAATAATAACAATAATAAAAACATATATAGCGATAATAATAATGGTAACAGTTTTAGTTATGGTAGTTACAGTTATAATAATTACTTTTCTTCTTCTTCTATTAAAGAAAATGATATATCGTTGATTGATTGTCTTAATAGTTTTATGAGAGTAGAAACTTTAGAAGGTGATAATGCTTTTGCTTGTGGAAATTGTTGGCAAATAAAAGAAAAAAGAGAGAAAAAATTAAAACAACAAAAATTGCAAGAGCAGCAAAAACAACAACAGGAAATTATTCGGAAAGTTGAAGATGCTGATGTAATAGATAATGGGGAAGAACATAGAGAAATGATTGAAGAGCAAGTTAATAAAAATAGTAATAATGATGATGATGATGATGATAAAAATGATGATTTTAATAATGATGATGTTGTTGTTGTTAATGATAATAATGATAACAATTATAATAAAGTTGAAGAAACAGACGATATGATTATTAGTCGAACAACACCTGATCATAACACACATGAACCAAATGATGCTGAGGATTCGCTGAATCGTGGCGGCAATAATGATTATAATGGTGATGGGACTGTTAATGGTGATGATGAAGTTGAAGGGTCAGATGATAAAATGATTATTAGTCAAACGGCATCTAATGATGTTGAGAATCCATTAAATCATGATGATAATGATTCTAATAATAATAGTTGTAATGTAGTTAATAGTATAAGTGCCGATAATAATAATGATTATAGCACATTTAATAGTAATAGTAATAACAACAATGATCATAGTAATAGTAGAAGTGCCGATAATAATAATGGTTATAGTATGTTTAATAGTAATAGTAATAACAACAATGATCATAGTAATAGTGGTGACAATAACAGTAATGATGATTATAGTGTCAACGACTGTAGTATGTTTGGTGCTAGTAGTAATAACAATAATAATTCATCTAGTACATATAATACTCCTTTACCACATCCATCGTCAGACACTTCAAATCATAATGAAATGATCATATCCACAGAATCATCATCGTCATCATTGATGGAAAAAGAAAGAGAAAGAGAAAGAGAAAGAGAAAGAGAAATAGAAATAGAAAGAGAAAGAGAAAGAGAAAGAGAAAGAACAACGGCAAGAGAAAAATCAAGATCAAAATCACCGCCAAAACGAGAAAAGTTTAAATTGCAAAAAGCCTATAAACGGTATTTATTCGCTTCATTACCACCAGTGTTAGTATTTCATCTGAAAAGATTTCAACAAGTTGGTAGTAGATGGTCGATGCACATGAAAAAAATAGATGATTTTGTTTCGTTTGAAGAGGAAATAGATGTTGGCGAGTTTGTCGTACCACCAGAAATCGAGGAAGACGAAGAGGAAGAATCAGATGGTACGGATGCTGATGATGATAGTAATAATAATTATAAAAGATATAAGGCAGACGAAATTTCGAATGATGATCAGGTGGAGGATGATGATGCAAAAGATCTTAAAAAACAACAGCAACAAAATAAATTAATAGAGCAGCCATCACAATCTACCAAATATAGATTGTATGGAGTTGTTGTGCATTTAGGAAGTTTATTTAATGGACATTATATAGCATTTGTGCTATCTAGGAATATTGTTGGCGAGGGAGAGCAAACTGGCTTACCGAATCTATCGTACGACGATCGGCGTACAGTTAATGAGATACATAAACAAGCAGTTAAAACTGGCGATGGACACCGACAATGGATTTATTGTAGTGATAGTTCAGTGAGAAGTGCTACAGTTGATGAAGCGCTTTCAAGTGGTGCTTATCTATTATTCTATGAACGTGTTAACGAATGAATGAATGAATGAATGATCAATTGAATGAACGATTTGATTATATTGATGATGACGAGAGTTTAGTTGTAATTTATTTATTATTCATTCTTTCTTCATATTTCTGTTTTTTTTCTCGTTTTTTCTTTTAAATAAAAAAAGAAAAAATTTGTTGCACAAAATAGATGTTATACATAAATTCACAAATAAAATTTTTCATGATAATCTTAATAAAACATAATAAACAAAATAAAACAAAAATAAAACAAAATAAAAATCAAAAATGAATTATACGCCAAGTATAACAAGAATAGTACTTCATTTATTATCAACAAAAGGACCAAGAAATACAAGACAATTATCGGAAGAAATACCTAACTATACAGAAAAACTTAGATCTGTTAGTTTTTTGAAAAAAGGTATTTTGAATGGTATGAAGGCCAATAAGTTCATTATAAAAAAATACTCGCACGAAGAAAAGGATTATTTGTGGTATATCAATATTGAGAAAGTAAAATCTGAAAATTATCGAGAGTTGAAAACACCGGAAGAAGTTAAACGAATAGTTGAGGCGAGAATAAAAGAACGAGAATATTTGGATATAAAAAATCCAAGAAAAATATCACTAGAAAATATCGTTGCACATGAAAATGATAACAATAATGATTATAAGAGATATAAAATTAATGACAATAAGATTAGCAAGTATAATAAGAAGGATAAGAATATATTTTCATCGTTATCATCGCCATTATCATTTTTCACAAACAAACAATTTGAAAATACAAAATTCTCTCGAGACGATGAAAAAAGAAAACAATTAGTAGGAGATGGTGATGTAGGAGGGGGAGAAGGAGAAACATCAATTATTGGATTGGAAGATGACGATGAATTAATAATTAAGAGTGGAAAAGAATTAGATAAAGAAATCAAAGAAGAAAAGAAATTATTGAAACGACAAGAAAGATATAATAAGGATAGGAATAAGCCTAAGAATGACACTAACACTACCACCAAGACTAATACTAGGGCTAAGAGTAGGGCTAAGAATAGGAGTAATAATTAATATTATTGGAACGAATAGATTAAATAATTATTTATTGATATTAAAATAATTAATTTTATTAATATATTAAAAATAATTAGATATAAATTATAATATTACATAATTACTAGTATTAATAAATAAATTATATACAAAACTACTCTACCCTACCCTACTTTTTACCACCATTATTACCAAATAATATATTTTCTATTATAATGAGAAGGTCTTTTGAGAAGAGGTGGAAATTTATAGTGTGAAATGATGTATGTACAGATGTTATTGTTATTATTATTATACAGTTTGATGAATTTTGGTGTCAACCAATGAAAATTAAATTTTATTTTGAGCTTTAAGAACAATTGGAACTATTATTTACATTAACACATTTGGAAAACAAATTTTATTTTTAATAAATTATTTTTATTTTTTCAATTAAGAAATTTAAGAAAATATTGAATTTACCAATTATGGCTGTTAAGATCAAGATTCCTACAATTGTCAAGATAATTATCATCTTTGTATTCTTCCACCACAATTGATTATTTACCTTTTTTGATTGACTTTTAATTGGTTCATTAAAAATCACTAAAATAAAAAATTAAAATTAAAAAACACAGTTTTCTCAAAAAAAAAAAAAAATCAATAAAAAATCAATATTGTACATGATTGTCCTTCCTCTAATATTTTTTCTTTCTTTGCCAGGTCTTCTATAGTTTTTTCTATTCCATCTTTTATGCTATCTATTTTATCTTGAAGATAATTTTTTTTTCCTTCCCTTGATTGTAAACCAATTTGTTCTAAATGTGCCGCTTTAATAGGTTTTTTAAGTGGATATGGATCATAAAGTTTAACAATTTCTGTTTGTTCGAGTACTGACCTAAATGCATGCATATATAGATAACATGAAAAAAAAATATATTAGCAACATATTTCAACGAAAAAATCTAATTGAGAGAGAAAGAAATTAAAACGAATTTTCACATTTTTTTTTAATTTTGAAATTAAAATAAATTTCAATCGCACGCATTATTTATTATATTCGCGCGTTTATATAAATTTTTTTCTGAATTTGGAGACAAATATACAAATTTTATAGAAATAGGAATATTTCAAGATGATCTATGATCTGCTAAGCCATGAAATAAAGGCTTAGCTATATAGCACATTTAAATTTAAAGAAAAAAAAATTTTATAATTTTTAATACCTGTTATTATTACCTGTTATTTTTTTATATATAACAATCATGTCTTGTATAGCACCAACTTATTTTACAATATTTTTACTAGCAAAAAAAAAAATTATATTTATGATTTTAAATCAGCCTATTAGGATACCGAATGGTACCTTTTTTTTTTTATTCTACTATATATTCCATGAGCTCACACTTGCACAAGATCCCATTCTCGATGTTTGAGAGGGGAAACCAAGGTTTACAAAATAGAGCAAATAACGTTATGTGATTATTAAAGAAGATTTACTCTTGTGAACCGATTTTTTCCCATACTGATAACATTTTTACTTGACGTAAATAAATGAAATAAGATATCATAATTCGAAGAAATCATAAGAAATAGTTTTTTATTAGCCAGCAGCATTATTATAAGAGGAAAATTAAATATTAATTTTATTGAAATCATCAGAAGATAGCAACTTTTAACGAAGAATAGTTAATTGAAACTAATTTCATCGAAATCTTTCTTGATCATAATTCGTTACAAATCCTCCGTTACGTTATCAATAGAAAAAAATAAAAAATAAGCGATATTTTTATGAAATCGATAACATATGGATGAAATGATCAAGTTTGATAAAAGTTTGTAGCTCTATACGAAAAAGCATTTGGTAAAGTATAACGATAAAAAGGCAATGAAATCATTTGATGAGTTAAATAAAGTGACGCGTGGTTTATTGGACAGAGACTTTACGGACACATTTCTTTCGAGCATAATGGTTGTAGACAATAAAATTTTTTTTAAAGATGTAATGTTCAATTGGATAAAACGCACTTGTTGATTCAAAATTTGTTTTTTAAATTGTTGGGGAATTGGCTTCCAGGTCGACTTCAACAAAACCATATAATTATCTATATGTGTCGTTAATAGAAACATCCAAAAACTATTGTAACTAATTATTAAAGGACAACGCCATCATCAAAAAAAAGCACGGATTCACTAAATCGTGAATAAGAACGTTAAGGGTTTACCATTGTAATTGATAAAACTGAAATTACCACAGAATTATGTAGCGCGAAATCTTGTGCTTTTTTAAAAATTAAAAATTTTTTTTCAAAATGCCTACTAGTATTTCGTCCTTGGAAAGTGTATGAAATCCATTAAAACATATTCGTAAACTTGTAAATGATTTAACAGAATTATTAAATGAATCTGACTGTTATGATGTAGAAATTAGAATTGGATCAAATCATGATGCTAAAACTTTTAAAGCTCATTCCGCCATTTTAAAGACAAGGTCTTCTTATTTAAAGCAGCTTTGTCCAGTAACTGGACTAAAAAAACTAAAAATGATATCATTTTATTTGAAAAAGAAAATATTTCCCCAAAAGTGTTTGAAGTTATTTTAATGTAAGATTAATTCTACACAATTTACAATTTGATTTTTTAATATATTGCCATCTGAAAAAACATAAATTTTATTTATTTTCAAAAAATACATTTACAATGGAATTGTTAATTATAAACAATCTGGATCTGGATGAAACTTTTGAACTGCTTAAAACATGTGATGAGTTATGTTTTAATGATGATTTACAAAAATTTTTAATTATGAAAGGGAAAGAATGGATTCAACAGAATATAATTTGCATTTATAAAATTTCATCTTTAAGATAGATCAGAATCAAATAAATAATTCTATATTAAGTAGAGTCGAATATTCTAAATGTGCAATATATCATAATGGTCAAAAAATCAATCAAACTATAGATAACATAAGATTTCGTGAAAAATACATAAAATTTTCTGATTTGCAACTTCTTAACAGTATCAATTAAGAACCTTATTGTTATTATGATAATTGGCATTCTTATAAAAATGATTTAAAGCTAACAATACTGACAAATTCACTTCATTTATTAGAGGAATTTGAAGTGTACAAATTATTAAAGAAAAAAGTTAAAGATTGATTATTTAGTTGCGAATAAATTATTATTATAATAATTTTTTTCATCAGAAAAAAATTTATGTATAAAATATCTTAATATTTGTAAATGAAATGTTAAAAAAAAATAATATACATTATTGATTTCTCTTTACTAACTGATATACTTCATACTCTTCTAATTCTTGAAATTTATCGTCATTTGTCTTGAGATTCAAATTTCCAGAATATGAATTATTATTATTATTATTATAATAACAAGATGCCTTATTATCACCATTATATGCTATACATAAGTCATTGAAGTTTGCAAATGATCTAGCAAATATTGGCGCTTTAGTCTTCTTTTTTTCATTAGATATTCTTGCATGAACTCCAGAATTTACAATTCCTGGGCTTAGATTAAATATTGCTGTTCTAGAATTTTTAACTCTACATATTAGTGAATTCTCCAAATGATATTTATCAATTTTAAAAATAAAGCTTTTAGATGTTTTGATCCAGTAACTTTCGTTATCTGAATATTTTGTTTTATTCCAACAAACTGGATTGTAGCCTCCAATAATTTCTCCTGTATCTTTGATTTTCATAATAACAACAGTTCGTTTAATTCCATAACATTTGTCATTAAAAACACATTTAGTGAATCCGTCTACGGAGCCACGAAGAATCAGCTTAAATTCGTATGGTACGGTTTTATAATCATAGACGCAATTTTTTCCCTTAATCCAATTGACGATGCGAGATTGAGATTGTAGATTTAGTAACTTAATTTTCAAAGGTCTTGTTTGGGATGTAGTTAATCTTGGATTTGTTCGAAAATTGCGTATATCTTGATCAAAGATCCTTTCATAAGGTTTGATTTTGTCATGGAAATCATCGGCAGGGATTTGATCGAATCTTATCAATGGAATTAGATCACCTAGCTGTCTTTTTAACCTTGTAAAATCATCACCATTCCATTTGGTAACATCTTTACTCAATTCATCATCTTGAGCGATCCCCCATCGAAGAATGAATTTCCAAATTTCTATCTCTTCTATCGATAAATTGTCTTGTTGCAAGATAGATACAAGTGTGGAATTTTTGATTTTTTTAAAATCATTTGCTTGAAAAAATAATTCTGGACAACATGAAATTACTTTAAAAAAAATAATGACAAAAAAAAAATAGTGAAAGAAAGGGAAAAAAAAGGAGAGAATTAGAAATTATAACAATAATTATTTAAATAATATTAGTAAGTAATTTACCTTCTGCGCAATAATCATGAAATCCGACAAATGAAGTGTTTTCTAATGAGATATAATGAACTTCGACAATATTTTGTTGAATCCATTCCTCTGCATTTTTGATTAGAAATTCTTGTAAAATTTTGGACATTGTTTTAAAACATAGTTCATCAAAGGCCAGAATAAGGTCAAAAATTTCTTTTGGATACAGATTCACTTTCTCGATATTTCCGCCATAAATGTATCTTTTATAATAAAAAAATTACACATTAATATAATAAATTAATATAAATTAATTGACAGTAATAAAAAAATAACAATGAAGTTTACTCTAGAATAATCGTAAATAATTTTGGAGAAATATTTTTTTTCTCATAAATCATTATATTATTATTAGCATATCTAACCCAATTTTCTGATAAAGCAGTGTTGAAATAAGACGATCTGGCTCTTAAAATCGTAGAATGAGCCTTGAAAACTTTACCCATCTCAACCGTAATTTCAATATCATAAAATTTTGGGTTTTTTAGAAGTTCCATCAAGTCAGTTGAAACTTCATTGTTATTGAGATATTCTAATGAAAATTGATTTTCATAAGATATTCTATTAATGAAAGTCATAATTTGAGGGGAGAAAGAAAAGGATTGTGGGTTTTTTTAAAAAAGATTTGGCAAATTTTTTTTAAAAAAGAAAAAAAATAGCAACAAGAAAAGATATCGGTTTAACATTTAATTCACTTTCAACTTTTCGCAATTCTTTATTTTATATATAGAAAAACAACGAAAATGAGTTTTTTTATTTGGCTCATTGTTTTGTTGTACTAAGTGGTACAATTTAATCGAAAAATTTTTTTCTTTTATGTATTTCTAAATAAAGGGTACGTGTTCATGATATACAAATATTTAAATGGACGGGGTGCCGAAATTGAATTTGCTTGGATTGACATGGTTTAATGTATTTGAAGGAAATAGATAATATTACAAAAACTGGTTTACTCTTTAAAGCAAGTCAAATTTCTGTATGACGAATTACCAACATTAAAAAATTAAAAACTTGACAACCAAAAGTGTTATTATTATATTTTGTATGTGGATTAGTAGAAGATACAACGCAACCAAGACAAGTGGAAATAAACAGAGCAGGAAATTAAATCTACGACAAATACAGTAATAAAGTAAAATCAGATCATTACTTTATTTCGGAAATGTCGGATCGATTTAATTTTCATGTGTAACCAAACATATTTTTTAAAATGGGTTCATTATTATTAAAGTAAAGTGAAACCACTCCATTAAAGCTTTTCAGCAGATATTTTTTATGTTTAGAGCAACTCTCTACGTAGTTGTAATGCTTATTCAAATGTCATGTATATTTTACATTCTTTTTTGAATATTGCTTAAAAAGGCCTCAATAAGTGGTCAGAAGATTTATTTATAATGTTATAAGAGTATTACTTTACGGGGGGATTGAGAAATACATGTTTCGAATTTGGTGTTTGCTACCTTTACCTTATTTACGTAACAAATTTGGCTTAACGTCGATCATTAAATTTCATATATAGAATAATAATGACATTTTGTACTATATACTGAAACAACTCATCATAGGGTTTTGAATTATTCGTAATACAGTTGACCTTTAATTCGAATTAATTATTCGAATTAAAAATTTAATTCGCTTTATTCAAATTATTTGTTTTATTTGTTTTATTCATTATCGGAATCTTGGG